GAATCCTTCCCCTATCCATCCCCATCCACCTGCCACAGTCTTTTAAGAGACTGCTGAAGCTGGCATGCCTTCCCTGGTAGCCCCAGCAAGCATCAGGGTTCCCTGCCACCTGGTAATACCTCCCACCTGGCTCCTCCTGATTCCTTTTGGCTCTGTTTATATAAATGTCTTCTAGACCAGAATGTCCTTGAGCAGAGGGTTGTGTCTTTTTACTCCTACATTTCTAACTGCTGCCAGACCTGCTGACTATGCTTAGAAGTGTGGAATGGAGGACGGGAATCAGGAGGGTGCTGGTTCTTCTGTTGTTAGCAATGATAATGGCAGCTGTGTTTGTTGAGTGCTTTTCAAGTGGACAGGCATTTTTCAAGTATTACCTCATTCAGTTAGCGTAGACATCTCAGGAGTGCTATAGCAAGTTACTGTCTCCATTTAACAGATGTGGAAACTGAGGACAAAAGAATTCCCTTGTCCAAGGTGACACGGCCACCCAAGGGTGCCCTAAGTTTGGGAAAGCTTGAGGACTTAGCAGCTGGGACCGAAGCATCTTCCCCTTAGGTGCTGCCACCTACTGGGTTTTAAACTGTACAACTCAGTGATTTTTCTAAATTGTAGGGAACTTTAGAAATCCTAACCTTCAACTAGATTAATAGAACAATAATGTAGAAAGCAACAGAGTATCTGCTGGTTAGACAATGTCTGTTTTGTTCTTCCTGCCAAGTTTTAAGGGATTCAGAATCAGGCAGAGGTTTATTTAGGGAAGGGTAACCAAGAAGCAAAGGGTTCAAAACCCAAAAGACAACAGAAGTATTTGTAGAAACTGGATAGCTTGGCAGGGAAACTACTTAGTAGAGCTGCAGGTTCCAGGGGACTGAACCTGAACCATCAGTGGAAATCAGACTTACATTTCCATTTCCTAAACACCAGGGTATCATTAGTCAGTGTACAGAAGGGTAGGCGGAACGTTGGACCTGCCAAAAAATAGACTGGGCCTTTTGGCTTTTTGGCAAGGACTTGAACTTCCTGTTCTGAGAGTGATCAAACAGCAGCTAGAAACTGTGTGGCCACATGTTGCGGGAAAGGTTGCTTATGCGGGGAGAAGCTGAGGTGTGAGAGTCTTCCAGGTGTGAGAGTCACGGTGTCCAGGTTGCTGTAAACTCACTGAAAGTCCTTGCAGATAAAACCTCACCAGGCCTTGTGTTCAGACTAGGGGGTCTCTTGGGTAAGTCAGGTGTCTGCAGGTCATGGCAGCCTGGAATGACAGCAGGCCACCAAAGTTGTTTTTCTCATCTAATCAAACAAAAGGCGTGTCCGCCTCTTCCCACACTGCCTGCTGCAGGTTCTGATGTGGAAAATAAAGGGCTTTGGAGGCAGAATGGACTGTGGCTGTTGAGAAGCACTGTAAGCTCAAGTTCTGCACAGCAGCTGAGCCATTGAATAATGTCACCCCCCTGGCTTGGATATTGAAAGCTGTAGGTCTTTGGAAGTGCAAACATGTTGTTATCTTGAATACGCATGCTCTCCCTGTGCAGGGTCTAGGGAATTGGACTCTGTCCCCCGCCCCATCTGAATGACTGCTTCAGCTGATGGGTCTGCCATTCCCGTGGAAATAGAAATATTGGAATACATTGAATAGTAAGAAAAACTGTTAGCAGCCGCACTTTTGTGCAGCATCACAGGGCTGTTATGACCCCAGATCCTACTGCAGCGACAGAGGGTAACTGGAGTATCCTGTCGGAACTGCCTTCCACGAGATTCCTGCTCTGGAGGTCCCAGGTGGCTTGGGATCCCTTCAACCTCCCACCTGCCCGATGCCCCAGCTGCTGCCAGGGTGCCCCTCCCGCTCCCAGCTCACACCGCCCATGCTCCTCTTTATCCTCAGTTGGCCTCTTTGCCTGGATGCTTGACTAGGTTGATCCGGGTGCCTCGTTCCCATGTTAACCTCCAGAGCCCCAGCAGCCACTGGAAACATGCCTGTGACACCACCCAGGCCCATCTGTGTTGAAATTCTAGGGAGGAAGCATAGTTTCTGCTTTCAGACTGAACTCCCCACTCCTCTGGTTTCACTTTCCACTTAAAAAAAAGGGCAATGAAACTGCCTTCAGCTCAAGTTCAGGATGCCAGAGAGGTCCGCACTGACTTTGTTCCCTATATCTGAGCTCTGCTGGAACCCTGTTCCTTTAGTGGGGCCTATGACTCCTCCCTCCAAGCCTGCTCTTCCCAGTTACCACTGCCTAGAAGTCCTCCTTGAAGTCTTTCAGTAACAACCTGCTATTAATAGTACTTAATTTGTTTCTGAATAGATGCAATAATGTCCCATTTCTCTTTGTATTCCCTAAAACCTTAACACATATATTAGAAAAGCAGTTTATAAGCAGGTTATTACATATTCTTTTATTCAGTCCACAAAGAACACTTATTAGTTACCTGCCTTGAGAATTCTGGAGACACACTTCTAAGAACTGGGAATGTGAAAGCAAAAATATTGATTCTAAAATAATAATAATGATCACACTAATAACCATGTAATACTGATCCAAACTTTATAGTGCTTGGGTGAGAAGCTGGAGCACGAGGACATAGGTAAGGAAACAGTTAAAATAAGGGAGCCAACTTCCAATTTTATCATAAAAGGTAGTCAGTGGTTTATTGAACACAAAATACATTAAAATGTAAAATGTGAATCACTACTTGTTAGTTGTGTTTTTGGGGGAAAGTCATATAAACTTTCTGAGTCTCAGTACTACATCTGAAAAGTCATTAAACCAAGTACGTCAGTATTTTGTAGTTCCATGAGACTGTGTATCATTGGTGTTCATTCTCAGTTGCATTGAAAGTTTCAGACGTGTCCTGAGTGGGAGGTGGTGGAGATTCCTTTAGCTCAACACCAATATGCCAGATGAGCAGAGCCTGGGTGGTGAGAACTCCGCCCACAGGGTGGGGACTAGCCATGTTTAGTTTTGGAGGAAGGCATCATCTGTTTTCCAAAGTTTGTACCCCACAGGTACTATTTTAGAGCAATACATGTTTTTATCAACTTCAGTAGAAAAGAACATTTTGCTTTTCTTTTTTAAAAGATTTATTTATTTATGCATACAAGAACTGGGGTACAGGCCAGAGGTGGTTGGGGTGGGGTTGAGAGGATTCACTAGAGACAGAGCAGGGAACAGAACAGGCAGATTGAGTGAAATACACTGCTAAGGGAGCAGCGGATGAGTCAGAAGAGGTCTACTGCGCCATGTGGGTAGCTCCCTGGCCAAGGATCGAACTCTTGCTGCAGTGGCTGTGGATAGCTTCATAGGTTGCGTCTTAACCCCTTGCACCACCAGGGAGACCCAAAAGAAGCATTTTTCTATGGTTCACATGGAGCCACGGAAGGCCGGGCTGGAGGCTGGATGGATTCTTTTCTTTTCCAGTGACTTTTGACTTACGTAGATACCTTTGCATTTCAGGATTTTATTTGTACAATTT